ATATCCGTATATATATCCGTATATATATATATCCAACATCTGAGGTCCGGCAGAGAGACCTAGTGGAGGGCCAGAGGCAGGAGACCGGTGGGAGCTGGGGACCCACCCAGGCTGGCTGCAGGAAGGCCAGTGGCTGGAAGCCCTGCTGCAGGAATCTGGCTGAGCAGGTGGCAGGGCGGCCAGAACACCAGCAGGCTCCAATGAGGCAGAAGCCTGCTGCAGGGGAACCACGGGCTGCTGCAGCAGGGTGGGCGGGGCCACACACCCTGCATCAGGGCCAGTGCTGCCCCAGTAGGACTAGCAGGGTCAGGAACCCCGGAAATTGAGCAGTAGTCTGCCACTGGGGAGGAGAGAGGCATCCTGGCAGCAGAACTGCAGGCTGGGGGGGAGTTGGAGCACCAGCGTCGGGGCAGTGGTTTACTGCGGCAGAGCTAAGAGTCCCAGCAGCAGGACTGTGGGCTGCCAAAGCAGGGCAGCAGGGCTGGTGGCATGTGGGAAGCCAGGCTAGGATCAGAGCCAGGCTGGGGGTGCTGGCCGCAGAGGGGCCAGAAACGATCATCCCTGATCCAGCAAAATCCCTACTTTGGTGTAACTCAGGTCCTGAGGATGCTGGACCAGGGAGATCTAACATGTATCATGAGCTTTCATAGGCAAAACCCACTTCTTCAGATGAGCTTCAAACAGTGACTGCTCTGGCCACTACTTTCAACTCTAATGCTCTCCAGGTGAAATGGAAAAGCCCCAGGAAAATTTAAATTTCATTTCCTCTCTGGCCAGTGTGGTGAGCAGACCTCAGAGCAGGCCGCGCACCTCAACAGCACACCTGACCATACGTTCCATGGAGTTCCCAGGGCCACAGACCAGCACGGAGCATAAAGGAAATCCTGGACCTCGTTGCTGTGCTGGGAGAGGAATCTGGTCTCTCAGAACTGTGAACCAGCACAAGAAACGTTGATATCTATGCCAAGATCGCAAAACTCATGGAGGAGAAAAGCTACGCCAGGGACGCCCAGCAGTACTGAGTGAAAATAAAGGAGCTGAGGTAGCCATACCAAAAGACAAAGGAGGCAGATGAGTAGCCTGGAGCCTCCCCGCAAACATACCACCTCCATGAACAGCTGCATGTGATCCTTGGGGGGACCAACAAGCTTCCCTACCGAGTCCCTGGATTCCTCCCAAGACACTCCTCAGGCAGCCATGGCAAGCAATGTGGAGGACAGCTGCGATAAGGAAGAGCAGCAGCAGGAGAATGGTCAGCAGGTGAGTGAGGGAACCAATGTCATGGAGAGCCAAGAACTTTTTAGAATACTGGAGACAATCCCTTGCTCCCCAGATGTCTCATAGTCGGGCACTGATCTGAGAGAAGGTGTTTCTGGTGAGTTCACATTTTTTATCTTGCTAAAAGTGGCTTAAGGCATTTGGGAGAGATCTGTGGTGTATCTACACAGCAGGGGGTCCCCGGCACAGCTTGTTAATATGTCTGGAGATAGAGTGGGAATCCTCCCTGAAATCTTCATAAACTCTCAGAGAAACTATTTAATCCTTCTCACAAGATTTCTGGAGAGGCTGCCTTATTCCATCCTCCACAGTAGGGCACCTTTCTACACCAAGCCACCAGTAAGTGGTCTGGCATCATGGCAGCATCAAGTTCAGGTTTCTGGACACATTCAGTCAGCACCTGCTTCCTATCTGTGAGATTTGGAGAAGGCTGATATTCGCATGGCAACCTATATGAAGCAGGGGAAGCTATTAGTGATGCCTCTGCAATAAGCCTCCAGTTGCTCATCCTCAAGGAAGATGGCTTGAACCCCTGCCCTGCCTCCATGTCCAGACCCCCACCCCTCTCGCCTTCCCACCTCTTCCTGCGGGAACGGAAAGTTGCACTCTCCTGGCAAACAGGGGATGCCAAAAATATGGGCGCCAGGTGAGTCCCTGCTCTGCTACTATGCCTGGACCTCCTCCTTCCACAGGCTCATGCCCCAGCCTGTCCCTTACCATGCCTGCCTGCCTGCCAACAAACTTAGTCCAGCTGCTCCCCTAAGAACTCTGAGCTGCACCTGCTGCATAGTGGCCTCTTAAAAGCATAACTATGGCCTTGTACATAGCACATCCCTACTGTCTGTAGACAGACCTTGCTTTTGTTCTAACAGATTAGGTTTCACGTTCTACAAAGTATCTCCTGTAAAGTCTGTCCTTCACTTTTCAACAGCAGTGAGCCTGTTGCGCACTCCTCTGACCCTGCCAACTGTCCGGTTGGCACAAATTCACAGGCAAAAACAGACTAGGGATGACATGTTGTAGGAGCAAATGCAATCTGCCCACTTGGATAGGGAGTGCTTAAGCAAGTGGAGGAATATGCTGCTGGAAGAGATGTGAAGGGGTGGGAGGACAGGAGAGTGTGCAGGAAGCTGGAAGTGAGGAACCAGGAGAGTTGTCATCCATGGTAGATGGATAGACCACAAGACAACTTTCCAGAATGCCTACATGCATAGGCATCCTCCCCAGCACTTGCAAGCTAACTTTCCCCCCTCACTGAGTTTCATCACTTCCTCTCCCAGGGGCCCTAAAACAGGGGTGGGGATGGGAATCAAGGGCAGCCTCACACTCAACCCCCAGGGATGCCTCAGAAAGCAAAAGGTTGTCCTCGCAATTGTGAAAACTCCCCTCCCATAAAGCTCCCACCCTGAACTCTTTCTGACTCGGCTGTGTTCCCTAAATAAAAACATGTAATTTCTGAACAACAGTTTCCTTATTGCTTATGTTGAAGGGGGGAAGGATTACAGGCACGCACACAGAATGCAGGGGCACCTTGTTGACAACAACATGCACGACTCTCAAAACTGGCCATTTATAAAACTGTCTTTCAAAACCTCTCTGATTTACACTGCTCCTCGCTGTGCGATCCTTATTGCCCTGGTTTGTGTCTACTCAAAATCCCTGGCTGGATGTTGTGCCTCAGCTCCCCACCCTGAAAAGACAACTTTCCTCCTTATTCTCACTAATATCACGAACCCACAGCAGGCTGCCGCCACAATAAGAAAACAATGTTCTCCGAGGTCTAACCCAGTCAGTAGACTGTGGAACCTTCCCTTTAAATGCCCAAAAGCACATACCACCACCATTCTCTCAGCCTGTAGTTGAACTGCTCTTTACTATGGTCCAGGCTCCTCATGTACAGTTGCATGAGCTCCCCATGTCTCGGTTTCAGGGATCAG